AACAGCAATTTGGTATGTTGATATGGACGGCAAGTACGGAAGTGTCAGAGTATCTGTTCACAACCAGATATGGTCCATCGTTAGGTGCTTTTGACGGTTTACGAAAATTGTGGTGTCGTCTCGTAAGAATGCATGGCTGCTATAACGAATATCCTTGGGAACAAAGATTAGAGCTTTTCCATGTTGTGATGTTTTCGTAGGTCCTACTTGCTCGAAGTGCAGATGGAGTTTTTTTACAAACGTTGGCTGATTTCCAAAACGTCAAAGTGTAAGGTTCCATGACGTCGAACTACAAAGTAGCTCTGATCCAGTACTCCATGAACTTACAGGTTTTTACACGAACTTGCAGGAAGTTGCAGGAAAAATGTTCCCGTACACCGAAATCCTCCAAAATCCTGTAAATGAGAGCGACTTTTGGAGAGTTGTGTAGAGAATGAAGTTGCAAGATTTTACCCGAACTTTTTCTTCTGGTAAAATCAAGAAAAGTGTCAAACAATCACTGGTTGACGTTTTTACAGGAAAAATGGTTTTTTTGTTCCCGTACTTTTTGTTGTTACCCACTTTTTACTCTCACTTCAGAGAGTAATTTTGCTGTTTGACAGTTTTACAGGATTTTTCACGAAAAGTATTGGATCAGAGCTAATATTGACAATGTATACTGCATGATTCAATAATACAAGGTTCGATAAACTGACAGTTATCTCTCTCGCACCGCTCCCATAGCAGTGGCAAAGTCTTGCTCCTTTCCAAATTTACTTGGAAAAAGTGTTGGTTTGCTGTGAAATTGAAGTATAAGCTTTTGTGCAATATGTTTATTTGTATATGCATATGAAGCACATTTAACTGATGAAAACATAAACTGTTTTTAAATTGGCTGTTTACATAAATCTCATAGTAGTTTTGTTTTAATTTTGAGTCTTTTTGTAGTTTTTATACGGCTAAACAACACAAAAATTGCGTAATTCACGTAGATATGTTAACATTTCGTTCAATATTTCGTTTAAAATGTCAGATTTCCTGCAAATACATTAGAATTTACAAAAGGAATGTCACTACTATTTGCCTACTTTAGGTACTTTTCTACTACCATTTTAGCAGCAATTGATTTCATTCCTCCCCTTTCCCCAACTTTCCACTTTGATAAAAATGTCTTTAATCTTATTATTTCTTAAGCTATAAAACCGAGCAGTTATACAAGTTCCCACTTCTACAGAACATAGTCCTTTTAAGAATATATATTTTTTGTTTTCTCTTCTTTAAATACCTGCATTTATTTGTTTATTATGATTTTTTTTTGGACCAATCTTAAAAAAAAGTACTAGACATCAAAGAAAAAGTGTGTACATATCACCACCTGAAATGAAAAAGACGTAACAAACAAAGTCTCTGAAATACAAAAAGTCGTATGTAATAAAAAATTCAAAATCCTTTTTTGATTGATATGATGGATTTCATCGAATTTCAACTCCCACACATCAGTTATGGTGTTGTTACCTCTTTTTGCATTTCAGGTGACGATATATTCGTTTCAATCACTTCAAATGGGGCTCCTTGGGGAATTTATTTTAAGGAACAAATTTTAAAAACAGTAATTTTGTTTACTTGTCGGGCAATATTTTTTTCATAGATAAATATGTATGTACATTGGATCCTTGCCTAAAGGCCTCTGTGGTAAAACTCTTCCCCTACGTCTCTCTTCTTTGCTATTTAAAGTGAAAGATTAAGCTCCTACAATAGGGATTTCCAGCAGAAATCTTCAACATTTAGCTATACAGAGAATCGATGCTGAAATATTTAAAAAGCTATAGGTCTGACCTTTAATTAGGTAAGAATTACGTAACTATCTGAAACCCTCATCATTCGTGATTCCAATAATTCTATTGCTTATAAAAAATGGGGTGCTTTTTAAAAAAAATAACAATACTCTGATCCGATTTGGCTGGCAGCAAGGATCTTAAAAACATAATTTTGTTTAAAATTTTCATTCCTGGAAAATAATAATTTATTTTCCATATCCACCTATCTAGCTCGCTATAAGCACAAATTCTTCAAACCAGTCGCAGAAGAAACCATTAAAAATGAATTACAAAAACTAACATCGAAAAACGGTGATGACGTTACAAGTTCCTCAAATTTGACTGCCAAAGGAATGAGAATGAAGAATTCTTTTTAAAAAGCTTCAAAAAAACCTGACACATCTGGTTTGGTTTGTAAGCGCTGTTTAAACAACGATCTCACCATTATGCTATATTCTTCAAGTGAACATGAAAGCCAGGAGGATACATCCGACATTTGCAGCCCCCGATGCAAACCTCATCAAATTTTCAATTTTTAAATTCAAGTACTAAATAAAATAAACATTATTAAAAATTACTAACTTTAAATTTTTTTTATTTACCTAGATAACTTAGTTTACTACCTGGTTATTTCTTAAAAATACTTGACATCCGCATTCGCATCCGCGGATGTTAGCTGTTAGACATCCGCATCCGCGATTCGCAACATCCCTATTACGAACCGCTTGGTAGGTACGTCGAATGTTCCCAACTTGCTCCTAGTATGGCGTGAGACTTTGCATCGTTGGCAAGCCGGGCAACCATGCATACGTGCGCGCAGGTCCGAGCTCATACCCTTCCAGGCGAAGCTTTTTGATATGAGCTTACTAGTTAACTTTGCTCCTGATGCCCGAGACCGTGCATATCCGTGAAGACCACTTGACGTCACAAACAATACTGAACGCCCATGCACGCACGAATTCGTGCTGAGAGCAAATCCGGCCCGTACCCGCCCATCGTGCCCATCTCTAGTTTGGAGGCGTTGAATTGAGATCCTAATCTATATATTAATACGCTAACATAAATGTGGTCCGCTTTCGTTTGGCGATTCTACCGAACCGATTTCAAAACCAAGAACACCATTGGAAAGGTATTTTTCTGTAGATGAGGAGAGTTTTTACGGTTTTACATTTCCGTATTTGTGCATAGATGTTGCTGCAACATGTTCAATTTGACATGTTTTCGCATGTTGTTTCCCTTCGTATTTGAAATAAAACTTTGAAATAGAGATAAATATGAAGATGAAAATGAAGAAATAAATGATAACGATGAAGACAAAAAAGAGAAGGCGACAGTGAAGACACAGACGAAAACGGAGACAATGAGAAATACATAAAAATGAGGGTAAGTAACTGAAAGGGCAAGCAAATGTATGATGGAAATGATACACGTGGCAATGATGCACACGGAAATAGTTGCAACGGAAACAAGTGCTTCTTATGTACGTGGTATTAATTTAACAAAAACGTGCTAATAAGGTTTAAGAATAAGACTGAGATTAAGCCCAAATGTCGTTGAGCGTACTTTACATGGGCAAATAATTTCGTATGTGCAAGATAACAAACTTCTGACAGACAATCAGTCTGGTTTCAGGCCGAAGAGAAGTTGCACAACGGCACTTTTAGATGTGATAGAAGGCATTAGAGCACGAATTGATGAAAAACAAACTGCTTTCCTAGCGCTTCTTGACCATTCAAAAGCCTTTGATTCTGTTGACCGTGTCTTGTTATGTAAGAAGCTGGAGAACTTATTTTGCTTCTCTGGTCATGCAACCGCTCTCATTAGATCTTACCTTGGCGAAAGAACTCAGGCAGTAAGCATTGGGAGCAAAATTTCTGACTTCCTACCTGTAGTAAGTGGCGTCCAACAAGGCTCAATCCTGGGTCCTCTGTTATTTGTTTTGTATATAAATGACTTACCTAATGTTTTAAAATATTGTAATATATACATCTATGCGGATGATGTTTAATTGTATGTATGCTGTCCTTCTGATCGCACTGGTGTTTGTATTAGAAACCTGAATAATGACTAGGCTCATGTAGGTGAATGGGCTTCTGTGAATGGCTTATGCCTAAACCCTAACAAGTCAAAATGCATCGTCATTCATAGAAGGTCATTCACCACAAATGGCTTAGATAATGTTATCTTTGACAACTCAGTTATAGAATATGTTGACACGGTAAAAAATCTTGGTGTACTCATTAACAAAACTTTGACATGGAAGGATCACATTTTTAGAACGGTAAGAAAAGTGTATGGAATGCTTCGTACACTCGGGTTATCACAGTACTTCACTCCGTTAAACATACGACTACTTCTAGCGAAAGCGTACTTAATACGTACGCTGCTTTATGGCTGTGAGATTTATGCAAATTGTGACTATATGTGTAAAAAGAAGCTAAATGTTGTCTAAACAACATTGCTAGATTTGTATATGGGCTAAACAGACTTGACCACGTATCAGCACATGCTAAAAGGTTGCTTAATATTTCTTTTGACGACTTGTTAAAGGTTAAAACGCTATCGACTCTACATAAAATAATATATACAAAAGAACGTAAATTTTTCATCACCTCTATACGTCTTTGGAACTCACTTCAGACTAGACTAAGGCTGTTAAGTAATGCACTGCATTTTAAAAAAGAATTAATCTCTTACTATAGTAATTTATAAGTTATTCAAATTAATATTTTGTCTCACTAATGAAAATGTATGGGATAATATGTTCTCTTATATCACATGATATGATATGGCAGCACATGACATGTCAGAACACCTAGTTCCAAAGCAGGAGATTTTCCGACAAGTAATTTTGTACAATATAAGTTAAACGACGTGCTAAGTTAGAAAACCTCTCCAACGGTCTTAAAAAACTAGAAGAACGGTCGAATTTCGACAATAGCTGGCACTCTAGTTTTATTTATTAGTTGAATATCTAGTGGGCGCAATTTTATTGACTGAAATTTGGAGGCAAAAATAATTTGTATAACAAAGTTAATTTTAGTTTTATAATAAAGTAATTATTTAAATTTCATTACTTTATTTCAATCTAAGGCTACACAAATCTAAAACGCAACCTTTACTTAACGGAAGGATTATATTCGTAGCAGAAACGTCCTTAGATATTTGTGCTTAATGAACTGAAAATAACTTTTCTCAAATCTGTAAATTTTAACTTTTTAAATCAATACAAAGCTTTATTTTTTATAAATAGTTTAAGAATAACATATTCCTTTCTTTGTACCCATAACATCAAGCAATATAATTAAGTATAATGTGCATGAATTTTACCTCAATCCGCGTTCTGATTTGTGTGTGTTTCGCTTGGGCATATTATTTTCTTGATAGTATTTTAGTGGTTCCGTTTTTAAACAAGAAACATTCCGTCATACTTTTTTTGCCGCATTGGCATCCTCTGTATTATCACTTAAGAAAATACCCGTAATGTTGTCCATCTCGGCAGAAGTTTTCTTAGCAGTCAATTTCGTACCATGGGACTTCATATGTCCGCTAAGACCCGCAAACTGTGCAAATCGTTTGTCACAAAGCTTGCATACGAACTTCTTTACTGGATCGTGGATACGTTTGTGTTGCTTTAATTGCATCCGGTTTTTAAATCCTTTGTTGCACACATCGCACATTTGATCTCGAATGTTTCGGTGAACACTCATGTGTTCCCTATATAAAGTCATAGTATAGAAACCTTTAGCGCATATTTCACACCTATGACGCGGTCGGTTTTCATGACGTCGCTTATGGGTGTCGAATTTAGATGCAGTGTTGAATTTATTGCCACATATGTCACACACAAAAGGCTTTTCGCCTGTGTGATAACGCATGTGAACTTTTAATTCTGTTGTTGTCGCACAGGGCTTGTTACACAACTTACAACTGTACGTAAAATCCTGCACATGCCTTCGTAAATGTACTGTTAAATTGGTCGTCAATTTGAAGCCATGCCCGCAAATATGACATTTGAACGGAAGGGAGCCATCATGGGATGCCACATGAATTTTGTAAATACATGATCCAGAAATAACCTTTCCACATATTTGGCATTCGAATGGATTAACATCGACTTCGAGGAATTCTATGTCCTTGTGGAAAGGGCAAGTGGGTCTGTAAACTAATTTTTTTTGCTTACACATAATTTTTGCTTTCTTTTCCTTTGAACACGTTTTCCGTAAGCACAAAATTTCTCTGTCTAAATCATTTTTTTCCAAATTCAATCCTGTTTCGTTGTTGAATTCCTCATTTAAGGATCTTAAAGCTTCTCGTCGTCTATTTCCAAATCTGTAGGTAATGTCATTCTCATCCCAGAGACATGGATATTTCTCATATATTTGAGCAAGAATAACAACTTGGTCATCATTCAAAAGGCTGTATGGTATTGTTCTCGTATGCAATGGACTGGAATGTTCCTGTATAACCAAAGAAAAATTTCTGTAAAATTAATGGTCCACTTACAAGGTATGAAGTCATATTAACTGTTGGTACGCTAAAATAGAGCGACTGCATGTTCCAATGAGGAATTCAATGATATCGAGTGAAATTCATATAATTTGTTTTTCATATGAAAAATTTAGGAATAGATACTGTAAACATACTGTTGTGATATTATTAAAGTGCTGTTAGACGTGGCAATGTCTACTTCCGCAAATCGCTTTCGTGAAATAATTTTAACAGCTGTCCTAGCCACCATGATAAAAACATAGTAAGGTAGAACCGTTCTCTCAATTGGTCGGCCATGATTCATTTTTAAGTTTGCCAGCATTTTAAAATCATACAAAAGTTGTGTTTGTTTACTTATTTCCAGTAAAATCCAGTAAGTTTTTACGAATTTTCATGATTTGGCGTTTTCGTACACAAAAACTTAAAAACTTAAAAAGTAGGGGAAATTGAGAGAGCGAAAAATGACAGTTGAAGTTGAAAGTTTTTACTGGATAAATTATTACTTGTAAGAATTTGCCAGTACGAAAAACAGCTGATCGTATGGTGCTGGATGAAATTTAAACTAATAAAGAAACTGTTTGTGGGTTTTTATCAGGGACGTGAACGGATTTTGAACCGGAAAACCGTTTTTTTCTATTAATTAAGTGAACCATTACCCGAACCGAAATTTTCCACAAATGTTTGATCCGAACCGAAAACCGAAAACCACTTTCAATAAAGGTTTAAAGGTTCGTTTCAATCAATTTTCAATAGATAAATGCACCCGCTTTTTTTCTTTTTGTTAAACATGGTAATACCTACCATGTTTGTTTACCATGTGACAATATCAAATGTAAAGGCAACCCATCTCATTTGACAGACATTTGACCCTTAAACTTGCGCGTTGTTGCACTTGACACTTGACACTTATAAACTTGCCGCTTTGACGAACCAATCCAAAAGTGCAAAAACGGTTCGAACCGCTGAATCGAACCGACCAAATTTTTCATCCGGTTCACGTCCCTGGTTTTTATTGTTGAATTTTACAAAATAAACCTATTTAAATATAAAATATATTGTTTTATTAGGAATTTGCTGCGAACAAACAACCAATTTATCAGCTGCTCAGGAAACTTGTAAATTATTACTGGATTTGCGTTCGCGTACTTTTTTGGAAATTTTTTCTATGAGAGCGAATATTTAGAAATAAAGTTACTGGAAAGCTGCTGGCAAGTTACTGCATAATTTGTAAACAAACACAACTTAAATTGAAAATAAAAAGAGGAACCCTGCAAACCATTTTTCCAGAGTATTCTGAATTGTAGAGAAATTTTTAAGAATTCGTAAAGATCTCATCCGATCTTTTGCCGAATTTTCTAAAATGAACTAAACTGTGCAAACTTCGATTATTTTACAAAATTTCGGAAGAAAATTGGTAAAGTAATGATAGTAATGCTATGAGAATTTCTTGCAGAATTTTTATACCCGAGCGCACTTGTGCACAAGGGTATATTAATTTGGTTCACATAACGGTTGTTTGTAACAGCCAAAACGAATCGAGATAGATATAGACAAATGTATACATAAATGATCAGAATGAAAAGAGAAATCGATTAAGCCATGTCTGTCTGTCCGTCCGTCTGTCCGTCCGTCCGTGTACACGATAACTCGAGCAAAAATTGAGATATCTCAACGAAATTTGGTAGGTAGCTTTCCGTTAATCACGGTAGGTTGGTATTGAAAATGGGCGAAATCGGACTGTAACCACGCCCACTTCCCATATAACGGTAATTTCCAGAAATACGAAAACTGCGATATTTTAGGAACAAATGAAGATAATTCACTCAAAATTGATATCTTAAATAATTTTCAGACGAAAAATAAGAATATTATAAATTTTTGGAAAATGGGCGTAGCCACGCCCACTAATGGTTACATGTGTATATCTTGATAACCGCTGCACCAATTTCTTCCAAACTTGGCAAAGTTGTTGGCCTTGATACAGCATACTAAATGGCCGAAAATTAAAAAAATCGGACAATAACCACGCCCACATCCCATATAGCGGTAATTTGCGGCAATACGAAAACTGCGATATTTTAGTAACTACTGAAGATTATTCACTCAAAATTGATATTTACAACAATTTTTAGACGAAAAATAAGAATATTATAAATTTTTGGAAAATGGGCGTAGCCACGCCCACTTATGGTTACAGGTGTGTATCTTGGTAACCGCTGCACCAATTTCTTCCAAACTTGGCATAGTTGTTGGCCTTGGTACAGTATACTAAATGGCCGAAAATTTAAAAAATCTGACAATAACCACGCCCACATCCCATATAACGGTAATTTAGAGAAATACAAAATCTTCGATAAATCAGTAAATATTAAAGCTAATTTATTCAAAATTGATGCTTGCAACAATTCTTTACCAAGAAATACGTTTATGGTAAAATTTTGGAAAATGGGCGTGGCACCGCTCACTTATAATCACATATATGTATATCGGTAACCGTTCTACCAATTTGTACCAAACTCGGTATTTTTATTGTGCTTGCCACATAAAAGCAAAACGCTGAAAATTATTGAAATCGGACTAAAATTACGGCCGCTTTTCATATAATGGTAAATTTCAGAAATGCTTGAAACTGCGATATTTCGAAATTTAAGGACGCTAATTTACTCAAAATTGATACACCCCGGCTTACCATCTAGCGGTAGCTTTCGGAAAGGTGAAAAAACATATACAGTGAAACCTCTCCTAATGGACACCTCTATTAGACGGGCATCGCCCTTGGGCGGACATTTTTTCCTATACCAAGTTTTAAGTATAAATTTCGGAACAAATTACTCTCTCTTAAACGGACACTCTCTTGGCCGGACGCGGACAGTTATTTTGCATAAAATTGACACAAAAACCTCTATTGAACGGACGCGAACCTCTTATCAACGGACATTAAGATTTCTTTTCATAACAAATCAAACAAAAACCTCCGTTGAGCGGACGCGAACTCCTCATAGGCGGACTACTAAATGGAAAAGGGGGACTTCCCGCATAAAATGTGATTTTTATGCACACATTTAGTTTGGTTTGCGCAGTGGTTTAGGTTCGTTATTTGAATTATCAGAAACCCTTGGGGAATCCAATTCCAATTCTGATGATAATAGATAATAATAAATACATGGATCGAAAATTTAGACTTTGGTTGGATTTTGTTACTGATAAAAACATGAAAACTATTGATGAAAAAGGTACTGACACTGAAAAAAATTAAAAATAAAACTTACGTCAATCGACAATTTGCCAGTTTTTTATGTAATGAATCTATGGTTTTATGTAGTTTATGGACTGAAATGTAATATTTATTTTTATTTTGTTATTACTTAATACATATGTACTTACGCACATAAATGAAATATGCACTTTTGAAAAAATACATGCACATTTTTGTTTGAACGATGTAATATCAATATCTTTTATTCAAATAGGAAATAGTGACTATTCAATTAATTAAAACATTAAAAAGTTCTAAAATAAGCTTCCCTTCCATTGAGCGGACATCTCTCTTGGGCGGCCAAAAAATTACTGACGGAGAGTGTCCGCCCAAAGGAGGTTTCACTGTATTTAATACTTGCGCCGGGTATTTAATGTTCGGCTCCACCCGAACTTACGACTTTCTTACTTGTTTTAGGATATTATTTATTTTTCCTAAAAATATTTCTTTCCGTGTTCGTGTCAACCACTTCATACAATTTTCTTTGAAGATCCGTAAAAAAACCGTTACAGAAATCAGATACTCCTTAAGATTTCGTTACCATTTCGGGAACTTTGGTTTGCAGGGAAATTGTTCAAAATTGTTGCTGTTTAGGATTGAAAATAGGTCCATTCAATAACTTTTACAGTAAGTACTTGCAGCGAGAGCGTAAATGAAAAATAGAGAGTAAAATTGAGAGCAAAAGAAAATTTTCAGAAAAAGTTATTGAACGTAAAACTAGTAAAAACTTGCACTTAAGCCATTTTGACACTTTCTGACGGTTAAGTTTTGGCGCGCAATTTTCTTTTTAATTGGAAATACTTCCCATCGCCATAAAAATAAAAAAATATACAATAGATTTAAATTTTACATCCATATTTTCATTTCACTAATTATGTTTCATCAAATTATCCTCTTAAACAGTTTGTTTACATTTGAATTTGAAATATAACCTTACTTTTTGACTCCTGCAAATTCCTGCTAGTAAAATTATTACTTGCAAGAATTTCCAGCTCTCGGGTTGTTACGCTCTCGAATTCGCTCTTTCTTGCAAATATTTTGGGTTATTGAATGCATTTCCAGTAAAAACTTGCAAGTACTAGTAACAATTCGTATCAATTTTTTGATATTGAATGGACCTAATAAGAATGTGTGTGTGAGTTTGTGTTTCAAATTTTAAAATTAAATTGCTTGCACAAGTCAAAAATGCTAAAGGTGCTCAGCGGTTCTACCTTTCTATATTTTTATCATGCTAGCCACCATGATACAATACTTTTTAGAAGGTAGTTTCACTTCTTATCCACCATGTTAGCTATCTGACAGAAAACGTGTTTCGTATTTTTTGTTGTACCCATACTGTGTTGTACTATGGTTGTACCAACTTTTTCAAAAAAAAACCCTGCTTTTGACGTTGGAAAAATAAAACAAAGGAAAGCACAACATACACTGACAATCAAAACCGAGTGCATGTACATTTTTTAATAATAAGCTATTTATTCAGTTTTGATCTTTTCTGTTTGGGGATTTTTGAAGGTTGATACCAACAGGATTGTGGAGGCTCGCCTGTTTGTAATTGCGGTTTTCATACTTCCGAGAATGCTCTGTACTGGGTTTTCTATGATTTCGCCTGGAATATCATCCCATTATAATTTTACTCGCCTCCAAAGCACTTCCATGTTACTCGGAGCTCGCTTGTGCTATGTTAATCCTCTCTTGACCACAGCGCTCAATTTT